TCAGTTTAAGATGAAATTGCCAAAGTGAAAGTGAAATACTTAGCTTGTGACGTACTCTAAGTAATTAAGTGTAATTAATTAAATAAATATATTAGGATAAGATTTGTATACTTGTCTTAAGTCTCTAATAGGGAAGATTCGATAAATAAAATCCCGTAATAATAAAAAAAAAAAATGTTTGAAGTCTGGTATTTTTGTTAGCTTTTTTCAGAGGTAGCGCTTCTTTTTTCACATAACTTAAGTATCTGTATCTTACATTTGGTTGTAATGAGCTTTGCCATTCTGAAAATCTAAGCTAATGCAGCTATAAATAAGACCCAAACATTGTGTGATTTCAGATTACCGTTTGGGAAATATTAAGCTTTCAAATGCAAATATTCAAGATTTTTTTGCGGTATTTTTTTTTTTTAATTTTGACTTTAAAAACTCAGGAAAAGTCGAAAAAATATTATTATTTAATACATTGTAAAGAGACCACAAAGCTTCCCCCCCAGTACAGTTTCGTGTCAAAGTAATAGTTTGGGGGAAAAAATGGATTTTCTCTAGCTATATCAAGCAGTAACTAAGTAGAGCAGGCCCAGCTGCATCAGACTTAGCGATTCCGTAGCGGGCGGGTCACCTTAGGCCCGTCCTTCTATGCCATTGCGACTCCGCTCCAGCTCTCTCTTTCGCATAACCTCTGACGCAAATCCGCATACCATTGACCAGTACTGTTCGCTCGAAACCATTCTGTTGATCAGATTCTCGGCGTTCAGCGTTTCACCGCCAATGCCGCTTCGCTGTTCTACAAGCCTTGAACAGTTGAAAAGAATGTGCTCAGCGGTACCTTTGACGACACACGTCGGTCTGTTAGCGTCGCTGGGTAGCTGTAGCTGGGTTAGCCAAAAATGCACTGTTGATGAACGCATTGCAGCCGTTAAAAAGAATTTCTTAAATTTCGTTTTCTATTTTTGAACACTTAATTTTCCCTCATTGGTTTGGTATTTTTTCTGGTCGCGCTGCGTCGCACTTTTGAGATTTTTTAGTGTTAAGAAAAAAGTGTTAAGACAAAAGCAGAACATGATGGACATGTTCGCTGCGTAAAAAGAAAAAGAAAAATTTTTGATACAGTCCACTTTGGAAATAAAGCATTTGTGTTCCATGAACATCGAAGGGTTTTATTCGTCACCATGCACTTCTCCATGCTTCCGGGTTACCCACGTAGCGATGTCCGGTATAAGCCGGAATGTCCATCCGCCCTTCGCTGAGATGGCCCTGCCATCTGTTCAAGATCCTTTCCCTCGCTGCCGACTTTATTTGTTTCCGTAGTGCCGGAGATCGATTCTGTGGTGCTGCGTCGAGTTCTAAGGAGATTTCCTTTGCTTCCTCTTCGAGGTCAGCCACTGGGATCATTCCTGCTATGACCAAGGCCGCGTCATCCGAAATAGTTCGGAAACCGCAGCAGACTCGCAGAGCTCCTAGTCGGTGAGTTGCGTCTAGCCCTCTCCTGTAGGATTTTGTCCTCGCCACCTCTGCCCAGATTGGCGCTGCGTACATCATGACCGATTTGAGGACAGACTGAAGAAGAATTCGGCGGCCTTGCTTGGGTCCACTCGTGATCAGCATCATGCGCGAAAGTGCTCTTCCTAGGTCGGCTGCCTTTTTGCAGACTGCCTGGAGGTGATCGCGATATGAGAGGCGAGTGTCCAGCATTACTCCGAGACATCGGATTGCTCTTGAGGATATTATGTTGACTGAGCCGACATGGACGGTCGCTACCTTGACTTTTTTGCGGCTGCATTTAAGAACCGCCTCCGTCTTTTGCTCAGCCAGACTGAGGCCCAGAGTTCAACCACTCCTGGATTGCGTCCACCGCTTGGTTACAGCAGGCCTCCACGTCGCCGAGGTGCTTGGATACCACCACCAACGCGACGTCGTCTGCGAATCTGAGGGCGTCTCTTGGTAGTTGAAGCTTAAGGATGTCCCATGACATGAGGAACGCCGCATGTCCCCTGGTACTGCACCGTGCCGCTTTTGGTTTTGTGTAGCAGCATCCGGCCTCTGAAGTAGTCCTCGATGATGGATACCAAGTAATCCAGGATTCCTTAACGGGTTAGAGCCCTAAGGATGACGTCCCACCTCGCCGAGTTGAAGGCGTTCTTAACGTCGAGTGTGACCACGTGACAGTACTGCTTCCGTCCTCCAAGCCACTTGGTTCCCTTAAAAACTTTTGCCGCTATGTCCTTAACTATGCGGATCGCGTCCGTCGTCGATCTTTCCTTCCTAAAGCCGAACTGCATCGGATACAAGTCAGCTGCCTTTCCGACAGCTTTCTTAAGCTTCCTTCTAATTCATCGCTTCAGCGCTTTGCCCACGTTGTCTATCAGGCAGATGGCCCTGAAGTTTCTTCAGGAGACTTTTGGGGTTTTGGCAAGAGGACAAGCTTCTGCTGCTTCCATGGCTTTGGGAAGACTCCTTCGCGAAGGCACATGTTAAAGACATGCGCGAAAGCCGATTGATGCGTTGTCATGGCCAGCTTCATGGCGGTATCGGGGTTATCATCTAGGCATGGCGCCTTGCCGTTCAGGGTTTCTGCTGCCACATGCAGAATCTCGCTTGCCGTTATGTCGGTCCATCCGATGTGGCGATACGGTGCTTGTGTAGTCAGTATATATGTGCATACATAAGTATGTATGTGAGCTAATGATTTATGTGAAATTTTAGATAGTTTAAATCTAAATCTACAATGTATATTATACATTTAGATTGTACATCTCCTTCGCCATAGGTCGAGGCAGAGTGTGCAAGTGGAAAAGAGAATGAGTAGTGCTGCAGCACTAGTGGGGGCGGTTTGGCATATGAAAATTAATTTCTTTATTCTGGCCATAATAATAATCCGATCTGATCCAGATTCGGCAATCCGATAGATATGGTCATTTGCTACGATACTGCCATACGTTTCTCGTATCCTCTTCGTATCTAATCAAGAATGTTTTTACTTTTTGCTGTTGTATACATCAACGAGGGGTGCTATATATATTTCTGGCCTGGATCACTCTTAGCCTTATAGGGACCCAATTGTCATTCGCATTAAAAAGGTTAGCAGTTTCTGTGATAAGCCTAAAAATTTATATAAGCACATGCAAATGCTTAGATCAGCTTAGTTCAACTTTTATTGATGAAATACCATTGCCAATGTGAAAAACCGTTACAATTAATTCAATGAGGAGGAGTACAAATTTCGTGACGGTCGTTAAAATTCAATTGCCGTGCCACAAAATACACTACTCGACAAAATCGAACTTTTTTCTTCAAGGAACCAACCGGATTTTTCTGATTGATTTGCTTAAAATTTATTTTTAATGACATTTTTTTTGTTTTCTACCGCAGAACTGTTTAAAAAACAAAAAAAAAATGGTATTTATTTTTTAAGCTTTTTTTCACATGTCTTACATCTGATTTTAATGAACTTTGCCATTCTTGTCAACTGAATATTTCCGCGGTGCAGATTATGAACGGTTCAAGACTTTGAAAGCGATATATTTATTTTATGAGCGTTTAGAACTATGTGGCAGGCAGGTCACAGTGCCAGCCAGCAAAACGTTTAACTACAGTTATGATCGATCTTGAATTGTCTTCTGCCTTTTCTGAGTTTTTAAAGTCAAAGTTTTAAAAAATATACGGCACACAAATCATCAATTTTTCACTTCACAGCATAATATTTAAAATACGGTTTTCTGGAGCTACAAAGTGTTCATATCCACTTTATAGCTGCATTTATCAGCTTTTCAGAAGAGCAAAATTCATTACAACCAGATATAAGATATTTAAGTTATGTGACAAAAAAACGCGCTACCTCAGAAAAATACTTTAAAAAAACGAGAAGGAACGTGTAAGTCGCTTCTGGGGACGCGACTCTACTTATACCCGTACTCAGTCAGCACACACATTTTTGAGCATGTTTTTTTAGAATTTTAGAATTAAAAAAAAATTTACATTTTACATTTTTTTGGTACATCTCTTATCTACATCTACAATGTATCTTATACATCTAACATAAAGATTCTAAATGTACTATTTAGATTCTACATATCCTCCGCTAGAGGGCGCTCGCGTACAAATCGAGGCAGAGTGTGTGAGCGAGAAAGAGAATGAGTAGCTGGTCTCTGGCTGAAGTAGGCGGGGGAAGCAACTGAAAATTAATTTCTTCATTATGGCTATAATTATGATCTGATCTGATTCAGATTCGGCAGTCTGGTAGATATGGTTGTTCTCTACGATACTGCGTTTTACGTTTTATCGTATCTTTAAAAATGTGCCTGCCACAGATTTTCGTCCTTTGTGGCGTCGGAAGGGGCGGGGCGAAATTTTGAAACACACTTGTAGCAGTGTGATATCACATGAGTCTGGAAAGTCTGGTTGCCCTAGCTCTTATAGTCTCTGAGATCCAGCCGAAAAAAAGAAACTCACACTATTTCAAAGCACCAGATCTATCCGAAAAAGCCGGCTGGTTCCTTGAGGAAACATCGTGTCGGGTAGTGGTATCGATGCTGTGGGCGAAATGTCGATTGGTATGTCTCGTGTCGATTAGTATAAGAAAATTTATAAAAAATACAACCTTCAAAATCTATGAATAATATCTATTCAAGCGACGAATTAGGGATATATATTAGAGGTCTGCATGATTTCATTCATTCCCTACTGGACAGTAGTGTACTGCACTCAGAAATACTGCACGCATTTCTTGTTTTACACTCACTGTACAGTATGTAAACTACACACTAATTTTATTGTACTCATTTACTGCTATATATAGTGAATGAGAAGTGTGAATGAGAAGACTAGCTGTCAGTACAGGCAATAATTGTCAGTCACGCGTCAAAGTTGGATATCAAATTCCAGTAGAACCACTATCATTCACGTATTGGAATCTGGTGCTAGTGGAACTATTGGTATAAAATAATAATTAAATTGTACCAAATAAAATAATGAATGATTTTTTATAAAATCATATAACATACATCATCTGATTCACTCAAATCAATGTTTCCATTATCATCATCATCAAGTTGACGATGCAAGCTGGCAATCGCCTCCATGCCAAACCGATCCTGTATATTTCCGTTATAGCAGTCAAATTCTTCTGTGTTGCAAGCACCATCTGCAGAACCACTTCCAATTGAATCTGAATTGAAAAATAGGCAAAAGCTTTTAGTTTTTTTTAAGACAATTTTGTGCATAACTATTAATAGTTTACTTATTAAAATTTGTATTTTTTATTAAAATTAAAAAAAAACGAGAAGGAACGTGTGAGTCGCTTCTCGGGACGCGACTCTACTTATATCCGTACTCAGTCAGTATATACATTTTTGAGCTTATGATTTTTTAGAACTTTAAAATTAACAAAAAAATTTTACATTTTACATTTTTTGCTACATCTCTTATCTACATCTACATCTACAATGTATATTTTACATCTAACATGTAAATTATAGATGTACCATTCATATTCTACATCTCCTCCGCTAGGGGTTGCTCGCGCACTGAACGAGGCAGAGTGTGCGAGCGAGAAGGAAAATGAATTGCGTTGTCGTTTGCAGGAGGGGGCAGGGGAAGCAACTGAAAATGAATTTCTTCATTCTGGCTATAATTATGATCCGATCTGATTCAGATTCGGCAATCTGGTAGATATGGTCATTCTCTACGATATCGTATCTTTAAAATTGTGGCTGCCACAGATTTTCGTCGTTTGTGGGGGCGGAAGGGGACGGGGCGAAATTTTGAAATACACTTGTAGCAGTGTGATATCACATAAGTCTGGAAACAAAATTTGGTTCCTCTAGCTTTTATAGTCCGTCAAACAAGACGGACAGACAGACATGGCTCTATCGACTCGGCTATTGATGCTGATTAAGAATATATATACTTAATGGGGTCGGAAACGTTTCCTTCTCTGCGTTACACACATCCACTTTTACCACAAATCTAATATACCCCTTAACTCTTTTTTGAGTACGGGAATAAAGAGGTGACGCTATCGGTCTGTAACACTAGTCAACACGACATTTACGCTGTGGCCCAAAATGACTTTTTGTTATAGATTTCGGGGTTTAAAATTTTTTAACGAATTATGGGTTTTTTTATGGTTTAGCATTTTTTAAAGAATTTTTAAAATCTGCTATTTTTTTCATGGTTTTTTGCAGAGGTAGTGCTTCTATTTTTCACATAACTTAAGTATCTTATATATGGTTGCATAGAACTTTGCAGTTATGAAAAGCTGACAAATGCAGCTATAAATTCGAGCCATTTGAACATTTGCTAGATTTGTTTTAGTCGGTACCGTCGGGCGAAGAAATGTCAAAAATTTTCAGTGACGACAAAAACAACTTTTTATTGATGCTCTGACCACTGCATTGGAGGATGCTAATATTATACTGTCACCCAGAACATGGTGCATCGGCCAACAGTTGGGGGAACCTTAATATCCACATTCTCTATAATAATATAATACTTACTCTCTATACTCATACAACTTCCTTCATTAATTTTAGTATTCCTAATGGGATACTAGGTATGGAAACCAAATCAAATGAACGTTTGTTATGCAAGCAATTTCTGATCAACAATTACCATGAAAACCCAGAAACTCATAAGACCAAAACGTATAAGTTATCTTATCACTTATACGCTGAGTGGTAGTGGGACACAAGCCAAAGTTCAAACATATACAATCAGATGTAGGGAAATTTGAAACCAATGAACATCTTTCTGATGAAAACATACCATAAACTTTGACATACATATGTACCTATCACTATCCAGCAAACTCGTTTGCTTCTCCAGCTTGTTATTTTTGGTAAGTCTTGTTGGAGTCGCTGTCGAAATAGTGGTTGAACTGTGTTCCTCTTCTGTCAGACATTCCTTTGGCAGGGCTTTGTCAACGACGTCGATTGGCTTGGCACCAACATTTTCACCAGAATCGTTATAAATGTCAGAGCCACGGATACCAGATCTAACCAGTTGAACAACTCCATACTGAGGATTTTATACGAGAAAATCAAATGAGCGGAGGCGCTTCTGCTGACCGTTCAAGCTGGCAAAAGCATGAGGTGCCGACAATGCTGTTTCCCTTTTCTCAGCGACCTTCACAGCAAGGGCTAAGCTTCGGACTTGCAGTTTGACCAGCTAAACCATTTTCCGGATTGGTTTGGTCGAGACTTCACATACGCAGTGCATTTGCACAAAATGTAGCTGCATTTTCGCTGCACATCCAAAAAAAATTGTTTTCCTGAATATCATAAAAATAAATAAAACTCAACTTCGTAATTTAGGAATGAAATTTTTTTACACTCGGAGCCCCAAGAATGTCTTGCGACACTTATACACTTTTTCTCACCTTACAGGTAAACGAAAGCTTTTGCACTTTTTCTTAGGACATATACATATGTATAAGTTCAGGAGCCTCAATTCACTTTAGAAAAAATTATTTGAATTCGTTCCTTTCATTATTCTAGTAGGCTTAGAGGGTTAAGGTATTAAAAGGCATTAAGGCATTAAAATCTATAGAGACCAAACCAAACATCAAAAATAAAAAAAATAGACAAAAAATACTTTTTGGAAGGTTGCGGGCCCAACTGTCAATTGGAAAGAAAGCAAACGAAAAGGGGTTGAATTTTTGGTACCTGAACGTGTTCCTTTGGCATTGGACCAGCAACGGTATTTTTCAAGTAAAATTAGTTTTGAGTCGTTTTTGTCAAACGGCTGCAAGTTGACCGTTTATCCATAGATTTTAATGAACAATACCTTAAACGACGGTTAATTAATGCGTCCATCTAAAACTAAAAATGTTGGCCAAGAATAATATTTTTTTTCGGCTTTTCCTGAGGTTTTAAAGTCAAAATTTCGAAGAAAAAAAAATACCGCAAAAAATAATGAAATTTGAAAGCTTAATATCTTCCAGGCGTTAAGCTGCAGCTACAAAGTGTTTGGGTTGGATTTATAGCTGCATTTGTCAGCTTTTAAGAACTGCAAAGTTTTTTTGCAACCAGATATAAGATACTTAAGTTATGTGAAAAATAAAAGCACTACCTCTGAAAAAAACTATGAAAGAAAATACCAGATTTTAAAAATTGTTTAAAAAAAATTAAACCATAAAAAAAAAAGTACTACAAAAATTTAAAAATCCCGAAATCTATCAGAAAAAGTAATTTTGGTTCACAGCGGACAGAACAAGTTCAATTTTGTCGAGTAGTGTAATCCTTGGGGCTCATTATACCCGTACTCAAAAAAGAGTTAATGGGTATATTAGATTAGTGGTAAAAGTGGATGTGTGTAACGCAAAGAAGGAAACGTTTCCGACCCAATAAAGTATATATATTCTTGATCAGCATCAATAGCCGAGTCGATAGAGCCATGTCTGTCTGTCCGTCTTGTTGAACCAAATTTGGTTTCCAGACTCATTTGATATCACGCTGCTACAAGCGCTAAAAAATTTCGCACCGCTCCACAGTGGTCGATTCTGCCAATCTGGCAGGCAATAATTAATAACTCAAAAAATAAATGAGTAACATTTTTAAAAATATTTTTGTATTTTGGAATATAAATCCGCGGAGTATTTAAATAAATTTTAAAGTTTTATTTTTTAACTTAAAAACATTTAAAAACAAATTTAAAAAAAAAATAATTTTTTTTTATTTCAAAATATTATAAAATGTTTTTATAAACACTTTATATTAATACAAAAAAGTATAGGTAAAAATTAAAACTTATGGTCTGTTTTTTGAAGTATTTTAAATTTCTTCTGCACACTACACTCAGAGGCAAAATTAATTAATTTTTTTTTTATTCGCTAACAATCAGTTTCGCTGAGTTTGTTTTTATCAATTATCAATTATTTGAACGAAAACATTGATCCAACTCGCTTCAACTTTTTTTTCTGGCACAGTTTCCATGCGCCATATCGCAAAAAGCGCGTTTTTCGAAACTGACATTTGTCCTACAAAATCAAATAAATTAACGAGTTGCACGTAGTTGCAATTGGTTTTAACACAGAAGATTAAAAAAATACTGGTTTCATAAATAAAAAAAGATTGAAGGCGGAAGGGGGCGGAAGTCAAAAGATCTATTCCATGCAAGTGTCGGGTATGATATTAATAGCACACTAAAGGAAATGTTAAGTTCTACAAAGATTTACCTCTAATACATGCAAGCACGGGACCAACACATATATTTTTTATTGAATACTTACCAACTATGATCAAAATGGATGGTAATTTTAATACAAATCGCAAAACATTAAGATTTATTTTGCTTTACCAAAAGCAATAAAAAGGCGGTAAAATGTACTTAGGTATGGACAGAAAAGTTTGCTGCGATTCAACCGCGTGCAGGTACTGGGCTATCGATACGAAAAATATATAAATATCGCTATAAATATCAGTGGGATGTTTACTTTCCAAAAAGTAAAAAAAATTAGCAAGATTCGACATTTTAATTTTTGATTTATTGCCTGCCAGATAGGCAGAATCGACCACTGTACGCTCCCTTCCCCCACAATTGTGACAGGCACAATTTTAAAGATACGATAAAACTGAAAAAAACAGTATCGTAGAGAAAGCCCATATCTACCATATTGCCGAATCTGAATCCGATCGGATCATAATTATAGCCAGAATGAAGAAATTAATTTTCAGTTGCTTCCCCCAGCAGCAGAATTTGTGTAACCACCTTGCAATCCTGTTAACATGGCTACGATTTTTAAGTCACACGCGACCTTCCACTTATGTACTTTATATATTTTATATTTTCAAACAATTTAGCCATTGTTTGATTTGTTTCCTTCATATTAACAGCATGGGCGATGGGAACAGACGGCTTTGGGTTCCATTTTGTAATAAAACAGCCTTTAAACTTTCCTTGCTGCTGTCAACAAATAACCCCCAATCTGTTGAGTCTTAAGTTGCTTGAAGAGTCCAAAATGTGGTGGAAAACGCACATGCACGCACACTTCGCAAATAAAATTGTGCGTGAACCAAATGACGTGTCCGGCCGGCGAAAATCCTCCAGCTGAACCCTCCCAGAGGGTGCCGTCTGGGCAATGGGCACTGCATTATCCCGGATCGGGTAATGCATTGCCGCTTGCTCTGTCCTGGGCAATGCAGTGTCTAGCCAAAGCCAGGTCCAGGT